TTTTTTTAATTCCTGTTTCCGTGGGGAAAGACACACAGAGAACAATTAAAGTGGCAATGTGGGAGCGCAGTGTGTGGTTGCAGGGCTGATGTCACTGCCCACGCATTTCAGGCCAACAGATGGACTCAAATTCAACATTCCCACAGCCACAGTTTCAATAGCAGCATCTCTCACCTAGAAGGACTCTTTCACCCTAAACTGGGTGCACACAAGAGCAGAGAGTGGGAAGGAGCAGCATGAGGTCGAGGAAGAGCCTTGCTGGCTCCCCAGCTGCTTTCCCAACACTGCCTGCACCAGCACAGATGGAAAACAGGGGGCTCCTCACATCCCACATGTCTGTCCTGGCTGTGCCACGATTGGTGTGACCTGTGATGGAAATCCTTGCCCAGCCCTTGTAGGGATCATGCCTTGGGGTAATGAGGTTTTGGGATGTGCTGCTGATGCAGCACTAAATGAGAAGGGACAGCTCTGTGCCCCAGAGACCCACCAATCCAAACACACCTGGGGCTCTCCCCATCCCTGTACAGGGCAAGAGACACTGAAAAAGGAATGGCTGGGGAAGAGCTTGTGCCTGAAACAAAACCACATCCTCACCCACAGAAGAAGCCAGGCTTCTACCTTCAAGGATTCTCTCCATCCCAAGTCTGTGTCCTATTGGATGGTCACTCAAACAACATCTCAAGCCCCACTAACCTTTTCAGCCCTCCAACCAACATGGTAACTTGGTGGAACATGGAAAACCCCAGTGATGGAGGATCACAGGTTTCCCCACCTCCCCTCCTCCCCTCTCACCTTCAACATCCTGGACCAACAGGAGAAACATTGGAAAGAGCAGGTACAGGATCTTCATGGCTGATCCACCTCTCCCGGCTTTTTACAGGGCTGCAGAGGGGACACCAAGGCAATGATTTTTTCTGTGATGTTCCCTAGCCTTTTCCTGTAAAGCTGAAGATCTTTTACTCCCTTAGGCTTCATGAATCAGACCCATGCCCCAAACACTCTACCCAATAACCTCTGCTTCCCTGGGATCAGGAAAGTCCTCCGAGTTCGGCTTGGCACTGGCCATCCCCAGCTGCAGACCTGTCCCAGGATTTCCAGCAAGGACACTCCCCAGGCTCATTCTGGCCACCCCTGTCCTGTTCAGCCCCAATCCAGGATGAGCCAGAGGGGAAGGGAAGTCTCTTGGTGCTCAGAAGTGGGAACAGAAATCAACCTTTGGAGTTACTGAAGCCTGAAATGGTGGGAAATCTCCCTATTGCTGTGAAAAACTATCTCTCTACTTGGCTAACAAAGTCCCACTTCCCCAAGAAAGAAGATCTCAAGTCCCTCCTGCAGCATCAAGGCACATTTCCAGTTTCTCCTCTCCTTAGGAAAGCATAGTTTCACCTCCCATATGTACTCAGCTCTGAGACTCACATGAAGGCTTTTCCTTCTCTTTCTCAGACATCTCTGATGGCCTAATAACACACCTGGATACTTCCAGCTGTTTGTCCTTTAGGTGAGTCTGTGGAGATGGGCTTTGAGCTGAGAACCTGAATGGGGAGGTTTCCAGAAAGACACACCACAGTCACCTACCTGAGGAAGGTCTTGGTGTTCAGGCAGCAGTAAAACCAAAAGGACTCACTTGTGTCCAGATGGCCTTGAGGTCAGGGAATGCTGTTTTGCCCAAACCACCCTGGTTTTATACCCCTCCTGGTGGGTGGAACATGCCCTTCTAGCTGCTGACATAACTGCCCTTGGCCAACCAGGGAGTGCCCCATCAGTGTGGGGGTGCTGGGGCTGCCCCTCGTCCCTCCCTGCTGCAGTGGCAGAGGCTGAGGTGCCTCCTGGGGCTGTTGCAATGTCACCCTTATCCTCCTGCAGTATGTCCTGTGACACACAGGCTGGGCAGGAGCTGCCTTGGATCGGGGAACAGCTTTGCTCTGCAGAGGTGAAGGGTGCTCGTGGTGACTGCTCAGGGTCAGTGTCAGGAGAGGGGAGCACAGAGGGAGAAAGATTCACAGCAGTCAGGGCTGACCTGAAAGTCCCTCACTAATCTCTCCAGCTCTGGAAAGCAATGGCAGTGGAAACTGTTTTGGTTCAGTCCCTTCTCCCAGGAAACAATTGATAGAACCAGAGAACATGGCCTCAAGAAGTACGAGGGAAGGTTTAAATTGCATATTAAGAACAAATCCTTTGCAGTAAAGGTGGTCAAGCACTGCAACAGGCTGCCCAGGGCAGTGGTGGAATCACCAGCCCTGTGTAGATGCGGCACTTGGGGACATGGGTGAGTGTTGGGCTTGGCAATGATGGGGGAGAGGTTGGACCCAGTGATCATAGAGTGCTTTTCCAACATTAATAATTCTATGAATTGATGATTCTTGGAAGGGAAAGCCTTACTGAAGTTGCCACAGTCACCAGTTGCTCCCATATACACACGGAGATGGACACAAACACGTATTGATTCCACTGGGGGAATCTAAAGCCTCAGATTTGCTTTTGCAGACAGGGAGAGGCTGCTGCCTTTCATGGCATGTGGCATTGCCATCCCAGACTGCCTGCAGCAGGGCAGAGAGGAGAACACAACCTGTTTATGGCCCGTGGCTAAAGAAATTTGAACATTTCCAGGCCAAGGTCAGTTGGAGACATTCCATGGGTGACTCAGACTGGGAGGTCAATGCCTTCCTCCTCCTCTTGCCTGGTTGGATGGGGTGTGGAGCAGCACAGCTCCTGCACTGCCCATAGCAAAGAGGGCTGAGCACAGTGGCACAGGACAAGGAGCAGCATCAGGGACAGGTCGTGTGGGCAACCATGGCCATGCCCACCCAAAGGACAGACACACCACCCAGCACAGCTCTACACACAAGGCTTTGGTTTTCAGGACCAAGGGACACCTCTGACAGCCAGGATTAGGACACTGACACCACTTCCCAGTGGGAGCACCTGCAGAGCAGCTCCATCCCTCCCACAACAAACCCCCCACATCAACAGGCACTGGTAGGCTCTGTGTCCCCACCCCAATGCCAGGCAGGAGCATCCCCAGGGACACACACACTGGGCACCCCCAGCATCCCCACCTGCTTCTCCTCACAACAACCCACCTTTGCCACCCCCACAGCCAGCAGGCACAGCACCCCCTCCATCCCAAGGACACGCACACACGGCCCACCCCTGCAATGCCAAAGTGCTCATCTTTATTCAAGCTGGCAAAAGCAGCCTCTGCCCCACAGAGCCCACGGCTGGGACGAGATGTCTCCAGCCCAGCAGCAGCCAGCAGGAGCAGCTGCCACTGCTGCTGTCCCAGCAGCTGGGCATGGCAGAGGCAGGGAGGGGAGAGGACATCAGGAGATGGTTCCAGGAGCCAGAAGCGAGGGGAATTTCCTGCTTGGACATTTCAGAGTGTCAACCCCGCACACTGTAAGGAGAAAGCAGAGAAGCACATTCTCTGTTGTAACCTTTTCTCCCACTCTCTCCCCCCTACTCCCCTGCAAGACCCATCCAGTCTGTGGTGCAGGAGACTCAGCCTAAGTGAAGGTCCTTTGTGAAGACAATTTGGACCTGGCTTATTTTACTGGTGGCAGCCCTGACTCCAAGTCTGTGCAGATGCAGCAAAACCTGGATCATGTTCTCAGTCTCTGCAGGAACACATTCAGTGCAGGGATCTCAGGGTGCAGCTGCGAATTGAGCTCTGGCTGGTGGGAGCCACAGGCAAGAGGCCATGACCTGCCCACCCTTTGCTTGACAAAGGGCCCAGCGACCTGTGGCACAGCCAGGTGTCAGAACACTCAGTGACATGGTAGAAGCTATGGACCTCAGGATCGGACACACTTAGACCGTGAGGGTGTAAAACTCGGTGTTTCCTTTGGTGAGTTCACAGCCTCAGAGTCACCAGCTCGAGCTGTTCCTCCGTTGTTACATCCGGATTAAATTCTTGTAAGGAGGATCCAGACATCTGAGACTTTGCTCTGGGAAGCCTGGGGTTGAGCTGGGAAGGAATCCTGTCTGCCTGTGTTGGTGTGGGGTGTGCAGGGAGTCAAGCTGGGCTCACTGGGGCTGCTCACTGCAAAGGGGCTTCAGTCCCAGCTCAGTGGTGCCAGTGTGGCTGCCAGAGTTGGCTCCTGGAGGGTTGCAAAGGATGTTTCCATTAACAGATGCTGCCCCAAAACGGTGAATGCTTCACTCTTTGGTGCCTTGGGTGAGTCCTCTGCCCAGCCTGAAGGACCCTCCTGGCACTGCAGGACAGTGGGGAGGTGCTGCCTGACCTGGGGCTCCTGCAGCCCCTCTCAGGGCAGGGCCAAACCCAACAGGGCTTTTTCCTTCCTTCTTGGGCACCCGTCACGAATCAGAAATGCAGGAGAGTATTTATGAGGCACTGGTGAGAAAGAAAGCTTTAACAGATGTTCCTAGGGACAAAGAAGGAAACTTTCCTCACCCAGGAATCCAGACCTTACCGTTCACAGCATATGGTAAATGCCGAACAGTTTCCGATACGTCTTGAAGAGCCACGGCACTTCCAATAAGTACAGTATCCCCCTAGCTGCTGGCATGTATTTTTAATTCCTGTTTCCATGGGGAAAGACACACAGAGAACAATTAAAGTGGCAATGTGGGAGTGCAGTGTGTGGTTGCAGGGCTGATGTCACAGTTTCAATAGCAGCATCTCTCACCTAGAAGGACTCTTTCACCCTAAATTAGGTGCACACAAGAGCATAGATTGGGAAGGAGCAGCATGAGGTCGAGGAAGAGCCTTGCTGGCTCCCCTGCTGCTTTCCCAACACTGCCTGCACCAGCACAGCTGGAAAACAGGGGGCTCCTCACATCCCACATGCCTGTCCTGGCTGTGCCACGATTGGTGTGACCTGTGATGGAAATCCTTGCCCAGCCCTTGCAGGGATCATGCCTTGGGGTAATGAGGTTTTGAGACACTCAGCTGATGCAGCACTAAATGAGAAGGGACAGCTCTGTGCCCCAGAGACCCACCAATCCAAACACGCCTGGGGCTCTCCCCATCCCTGTACAGGGCAAGAGACACTGAAAAAGGAATGGCTGGGGAAGAGCTTGTGCCTGAAACAAAACCACATCCTCACCCACAGGAGAAGCCAGGCTTCTACCTTCAAGGATTCTCTCCATCCCAAGTCTGTGTCCTATTGGATGGTCACTCAAACAACATCTCAAGCCCCACGAACCTTTTCAGCCCTCCAACCAACATGGTAACTTGGTGGAACATGGAAAACCCCAGTGATGGAGGATCACAGGTTTCCCCACCTCCCCTCCTCCCCTCTCACCTTCAACATCCTGGACCAACAGGAGAAACATTGGAAAGAGCAGGTACAGGATCTTCATGGCTGATCCACCTCTCCCGGCTTTTTACAGGGCTGCAGAGGGGACACCAAGGCAATGATTTTTTCTGTGATGTTCCCTAGACTTTTCCTGTAAAGCTGAAGATCTTTTACTCCCTTAGGCTTCATGAATCAGACCCATGCCCCAAACACTCTACCCAATAACCTCTGCTTCCCTGGGATCAGGAAAGTCCTCCGAGTTCGGCTTGGCACTGCCCATGCCCAACTCCAGACCTGTCCCAGGATTTCCAGCAAGGACACTCCCCAGGCTCATTCTGGCCACCCCTGTCCCATGAAGCTCTGATCCAGGGATGAGCCAGAGGGCAGGGAAGTGTCTTGGTGCTCAGAAGTGGAAACAGAAATCAACCTTTGGAGTTACTGAAGCCTGAAATGGTAGGAAATCTCCCTACTGCTGTGAAAAACTATCTCCCTACTTTGCTAAGCAAAGTCCCACTTCCCCAAAAAAGACGATCTCAGGTCTCTCCTGCAGCATTAAGGCACATTTCCAGTCTCTGCTCTACTTAGGAAAGCTTAGTTTCACCTCCCATATGTACTCAGCTCTGAGACTCATATGAAGGCTTTTCTTCTCTTTCCCAGACATCTCTGATGCACTTTCAGCTGTTTGTCCTTTAGGTGAGTCTGTGGAGATGGGCTTTGAGCTGAGAACCTGAATGGGGAGGTTTCCAGAAAGACACACCACAGTCACCTACCTGATGAAGGTCTTGGTGTTCAGGCAGCAGCAAAACCAACAGGACTCACTTGGCTCTAGATATCCTTGAGGTCAGGGAATGCTGCTTCACCCAAAACACCCTGGTTTTATATCCCTCCTGGTGGGTGGGACATGCACTCATTGCTACCCTTGGCCAACCAGGGAGTGCCCCATCAGTGTGGGGGTGCTGGGGCTGCCCCTCGTCCCTCCCTGCTGCAGTGGCAGAGGCTGAGGTGCCTCCTGGGTCTGTTGCAATGTCTCCCTTTTCCTCCTGCAACACATCCTGTGACACACAGGGCTGGGCAGGAGCTGCCTGGGATGGGGGAACAGCTTTGCTCTGCAGAGGTGAAGGGTGCTCGTGGTGACTGCTCAGGGTCAGTGTCAGGAGAGGGGAGCACAGGGGGAGGAAAGGCCACAGCAGACAGGGCTGACCTGAAAGTCCCTTACTAATCTCTCCAGTTCTGGAAAGCAATGGCAGTGGAAGCTTTTTTGAGATTGGTGCCTTCTCCCAGAGAACAAATGAACCAAAGAACACTTTCTCTGGTCCTGAGAGGACCAGAGAAAATGGCCTCCATTGCACCAGGGAGGTTTAGTTCAGGTATTAGGAACAATTTCTTCACTAAAAGTGTGGTCAGGAACGGGCACAGCTGTCCAGGGTATTGGGGTTTCAAAATCATGTAGATATGGAACTGGTGACATGGTTTAGTGGTGCTGTGGTTGTCAGGGACAAGGGACACCTGTAACTAGCCAGGACCAGAACAAAGGTCCTGCTCCATCACTCCCACAACAAATCCCCTGCACCAACAGGCACTGCCAAGCTCTGTGTCCCCACTCCAATGCCAGGCAGGAGCATCCCCAGGGACACACACACTGGGCACCCCCAGCATCCCCACCTGCTTCTCCTCACAACAACCCACCTTTGCCACCCCCACAGCCAGCAGGCACAGCACCCCCTCCATCCCAAGGACACACACACACGGCCCACCCCTGCAATGCCAAACTGCTCATCTTTATTCAAGCTGGCAAAAGCAGCCTCTGCCCCACAGAGCCCACGGCTGGGACGAGATGTCTCCAGCCCAGCAGCAGCCAGCAGGAGCAGCTGCCACTGCTGCTGTCCCAGCAGCTGGGTCTGGCAGAGAGGGAGGGGAGAGGACATCAGGAGATGGTTCCAGGAGCCAGAAGCGAGGGGAACGTCCTGCTTGGACATTTCAGGGTCTCAGCCCCATGTGCTGTACAAAGAAAGCAGAGAAGCACGTCAGCTGTGGTAACTTCTCCTCCCACTCTCTCCCACCTTCCCTGCAAGGACCCATCCAGTCTGTGCTGCAGGACACTCAGGCTCAGCACAGGGGAGGCCCAGTCCTTTGTGCAGACAGTTTGGACCTGGCTTATTTTACTGGTGGCAGCCCTGACTCCAAGTCTGAGCAGATGCAGCAAAACCTGGATCATGTCCTGCAAAGCCTGGATGAGCCTCCTGGCACTGGAGGAGGGTGGGGAGGCACTGGCTGACCTGGGGCTCCTGCAGCCCCACTCAGAGCTGATCCAAACCCACAAGGTCTTTTGCCTTCCTTCTTGGGCCTCTCCCATAAACCATAAATACAGGAGATCATTTATCAAGCAATAGCTAGAAATAGATTTCTAACAGATCTTTCTGTGGAAAAAGGAGGAAAAAGGTTTTTTCTGCCAGGGTTGTAATCCCTACCTTTTGCAGCACACACTGACTGATGAGCATCTTCCAATTGGTCTTGTAGGGTAGCGACAACCCCCAAAAGTGCAGTATCCCCCTCGCCGTCTGCATCCAACTGGACTTCCTGTTTCCATGGGCAAAGACACACAGAGAACAATTACAGTGGCAATCTGGGAGACCAGTGTGTTATGCAGGACAGCTGAAACTGCCCGTGGATTTCAGGCCAATAAATCGGCTCAGCTCAAAACTCCCCACAGAGACATCTTCCATTGCAAGGAGGACTCTTTCCCCCTACACTGGGTGCACACAGTAGCAGTAGCAGAGGGTGGGAAGGATCAGCATGAGGTCAAGGAGGAGCCTTGGTGGCTCTCCTGCTGCTTTCCCAGCACTGCCTGCACCAGCACAGCTGGAAAGCAGGGGACTCTTCATGTCCCACATGCCTGTCCTGGCTGTGCCATGATTGGTGTGACCTCTGAGGGAAAATCCTTGCCCAACCCCTGCAGGGATCACACCTTGGGGTAATGAGATTGATGCATCACAAGATGAGAAGGGACATCTTTCAGACATTTAAAAAGGAATGGCTGGGTGCAGAGTTGGAGCCTGAAACCAACCCCCTTCCTGACCCCCAGGACAAGCCAGGCTTGTATTTCCAGGGGCTCTACCCACTCCACGTCTCTATCTGTTGTAAGTTCACTTGAAAAACTCCATTCTCCTCAACCCCATATAACGCTTGCATCCTTCCAAGTAATGTGGTCAATTCCAAGATGTCGAAAACTCCAGTGATGGGGGCTCAGACCTCCCCCTAAATCCCCTCTTGCCCTCTCACCTGCAGCACTCTGGACCAGCAGCAGGATGCAAGGGGAAGAGCAGGTACAGGATCTTCATGGCTAATCCGCCTCTCCCAGGTCTTCACAGGGCTGCAGAGGGGACACCAAGGCAATGAGGACATGAAGGACCCCAGGGGGTGCAGAAGCCTGGGCACTGGGGTTCCCAAAACTGCAGAGGGGCTGCCTCCACACACAGCACATGATCTTTCCTCTACCTTTCTCTTAAGAACAATTCTGAGGTCTGTGCCACCCTGCAAACCTTGGGAGTGTTTCCTCATGTCTCAGTCCCTGGGAAATCCATTTCCAATAACTTTCTCTAAGGTCTTCCATAGGCTTTCCCCAGAGAACAGACTGCACACATGACCCCAATTCTTACCAGTTCAATCTAAATAAATTTTTTATCTGCCCACAAAGAAGCTGTCAGGTCTCTCCTGCAGCATCAAGGCACCTTTCCAGTCTCTTGCTCTACTTAGAAAACCTTAGTTTCACCTCCCACATGTTCTCTGCTCTGAGACTCATATGAAGGCTTTTATTCTCTTTCCCAGACCTCTCTGATGGCCTAATAACACACCTGGATACTTCCAGCTGTTTGTCCTTTAGGTGAGTCTGTGGAGATGGGCTTAGAGCTGAGAACCTGAATGGGGAGGTTTCCAGAACAAGACCCCACAGTCACCTACCTGATGAAGGTCTTGGTGTTCCAGCAGCAGCAAATCCAACAGGAATAGCTTGTGTCCAGATGTGTTTGGGGTCTGGAGATGCTGCTTTGCCCAAAACACCCTGGTGTTTATACCCCTCCTGGTGGGTGGGACATGCACTTATTGCTTCTGACACAACTGCCCTTGGCCAACCAGGCAGTGCCCCATCAGTGTGGGGGTGCTGGGGCTGCCCCTCGTCCCTCCCTGCTGCAGTGGTAGAGGCTGAGGTGCCTCCTGGGGCTGTTGAAATGTCACCCTTATCCTCCTGCAGCACGTCCTGTGACACACGGGCTGGGCAGGAGCTGCCTGGGATGGGCAAGGCATCCTGGTTGGTGCTGGGAATGGTAGCAGTGAGGAAAGGGTTTCCTTCTTTGTGTCCTCTCGTTTCAGAGATTCTATAAATACTCATGTAACCAGAGGTGTGCAAGGCCAGGCTGAATATTGCAAACCTGCAGGTCTTTGTACAGTGAGAAGAAAGTTTTACCTCTTATTTCACTTCAAGAGGTTTGTCTGGGTTATTTGGAAATGACACAGAAAAAAGAAAACTTTGTGTACTCTAGGAAAAAAGAGAGGTTTTTTCCTTCCTCTTTCAATTTCTCTCCTCTCTCTCTGCCCTCTGAAACTCATGAGCTGACTGTCCACAGCACCATCAGTGTGGCTCAAGGTGTTCTGGGCCAAGGAGCCCCTGGGATGGGGGAAAAGCTTTGCTCTGCGGAGGCGAAGGGTGTTCATGGTGAATGCTCAGGGTCAGTGTCACAGGAGGAGAGCACAGGGATGGAAAAGCCAGGGATGATCTCAGTGTCCCTCACTAAACTCTCCAGTTCTGGAAAGCAATGGCAGTGGAAGGTTTTTTGGGCTTGGTCCTTCCTCTCAGGTAAAATGTGACAGAACCAGAGAAAATGGCCTCAGGTAGCACCAAGTGAGGTTTAGATGCTTGGGATCAATGGTCTTAGAGGGCTTTTCCAACATTATTGATTCTGTGATTCTTGGAAGGGAAAGTCTTCCCTGAGCCATCCCAGGGTCACCAGTTCCTCCCGTAGGCACATGGACATGGACACACAGAGGTATTGAACCACTCAGAACCCAAAGCCTGAGTTTTGCTTTGGGAGGGGCCACTGCCTTCGATGGAGCAGATGAGTGTCAATGCAGATTGACTCCAGATGGAGCAGAGATAACAGATCACTCTGCTTACTCCCTGTGGGATTACAAATTCGAACATTTCCAGGCCAGGGGCAGTTGGAGACATTCCACAGGTGACTTAGACCAGGAGGTCAATGCCTTTTTCCTCCTCCTCCTCTTGCCTGGTGGGATGGGGTGTGGAGCAGCACAGCTCCTGCACTACCCACAGCAAGGGGGGTCTGAGCACAGTGGCACAGGACAAGGAGCAGCATCAGGGACAGGTCGTGTGGGCAACCATGGCCATGCCCACCCAAGGGACACACACACCACCCAGCACAGCTCTGCACACAAGGTTGTGATTGTCAGGACCAAGGGACACCTGTGACAGCCAGGATTAGGACACTGACACCACTTCCCAGCAGGAGCATCTGCAGAGCAGCTCCATCACTCCCACAACAAACCCCCTGCACCAACAGGCACTGACAGGCTCTGTGTCCCCACCCCAATGCCAGGCAGGAGCATCCCCAGGGAACACACACTGGGCACCCCCAGCATCCCCTGATGCTTCTCCTCACAACAACCCACCTTTGCCACCCCCACAGCCAGCAGGCACAGCACCCCTTCCATCCCAAGGACACGCACACACGGCCCACCCCTGCAATGCCAAACTGCTCATCTTTATTCAAGCTGGCAAAAGCAGCCTCTGCCCCACAGAGCCCACGGCTGGGACGAGATGTCTCCAGC